CTGCCAATACCCATCAGTCACTTGGCGACACAGGGGACGACATTCCTGCCTCCAGTTGTTTAGATGAAACAGAACAATAATTAGGGGAATAGAGCAGCTCCGGCCACTGAGCTGGGGCCACTCAGATCACAACAACACATTGTCCAACCTTATTAAACAGCCATTTGTGGCATCCTCACACTGTCGTTAGGCAGTCATCGTCCTCTTGCATGAAACTTGACCTCCCTTTAAGACATATTGACATGTCCTCCATTTTGAGGTCACTTAGAAATGGACGGGGGGACATTACAGGTCTTTACAGGAAGCCTGGACTAATGCAGCCAATTCTTTTTCAGAATAGGACTTCTTGAGTGACTCATCAGTGCCCTCCCCTGACGATATATTGTTTATTTCCCTTTGACAATTTAATAAGCTGAGAAAATAGGCCACATTCTTTGATTAATGGGAAGCTGTAGTTTGGAAGAATAGCTGAAGTGGAAGTAATGAGGAAGCAAACAGCAAAGAGCTTCTTCAGTGCATCTTTTGTCAGGATTCAGAGGCAGGGCTGGATTAGTATTGACTTAAAGCTCTTTTCAGGTCTGAATAAGTATAGGCAAGGAAAATTGAATATTGAAAAATAGTTTGTTGTTTATAGTCTTGCCTATTTTGTGGTATATTTTAGTAAACTCTGAAACTTCTATCTTTACATTTTTTTATTCTTTCTTTTTTCATCCTTTTCTTATTCCTTCCTCTCCTTTTTTATTAAATCCCTGCTTTGTGCTAACTAGTGCAGTTTCTTTTTTCTGTCCTTCCATCTATCTATCTTCTTTTCATGTATTCTTTCATACTTCTATGCCCATTGTTTTGTTTTTCTTTTTCCCGTTTTCTTCTTTTATAGTTTCCTTTTTTTCAAAATGTTTCTTCCTCTTCCTTCCTTATTTTTCTTTTCCTTTTCTCCCTTTCTTCCTTGTATTAAATGTTGTTGTTATTTTTTCCTTCAACTTTTCTTGTTTATTACAGTCTTTCATTTTATCCCCTTTTCCTTCCAACCTTTAATATTTTCTTTTTCATTTATTCTTCCTTTCATTTATTCTTCCTTTCTGAACTTTTCCATTTAACTTTTCCATTAGGATTTCAATGCAAATACATTGTAAGAACTCTTCTGTGTGCTCTATTGAAGGAGACAATAACACTAAGAACACAGAAAAAGAAACCAAAGTTCTATTTAAGGACAAGGATAAGTTCCAGAAGATTGTGCATGGGGGCATACTTGTGTCCTCTGCGGGCAGCTTTTAACCAAAACATGCCAACCAAACCAATTACAGGCTGTTGCCTGAATGGCATTCACGAGAAATTTTCTTTCTGGTCTTTTAAATGAAGTTTTCCTCTTGCTACTCATGCCTTGCATTTTCATTAGTCTCTCAGTGAATGTGCACCCACTGTGGCAGATGAGGCATTTTAATTTCTGTGTGCTAGGATCATAGAGGAGCATAAATGCAGTACAAAAATGATGCATTCACCATACAGTGTTGAAGTTTGATATCGCACAGACTTTATTCCATATCTAGTGTGATAGTCATATGAGAATATGGTGCCATTTATGTGACGTGTTTAAAAGACCATCCAATACAGGTGCATCTTGAAGATTCGCTCCTGTTTATGATTTAATTAAACAAGAATTTGACTTGCATTGTGCTGCTGCTACTATTAACATTGATATTTAATGGAGCCAGCCGAATGGGAACAGAGGGAGTCAAGGGTAATACAAATGAACAAGCACTGCATGCCCTAGATTATTTGATACTACTAAAATGTTAATTACATTCCTTTTCATGAATTATCTCCTATAGTATTGACTTAAAATTTAATTAGGGGTAAATTGTTAAAGAGAGAAAGGACTTTCAAAGTAATGCATTATAATTAAATAAAGGACCTATGCCCATTTGTTAGTTTAGATTATAAATTGCATTTAATAAGTGGACTTTAAAAGAAGGACATACCTCTAAAGCTCAATTTTGGAACAGAGACCAAACACATCACACTGACACACGTTTAGGCCTAGATTTGGCAACTTGCTGATGTTTCATCGAAGCATCAGAAAGAGAAGAAAAAATATTTATTTATACAAAAATACTCAGAGCAGCAGAAGACCACAACAGGTACCACACCTGGGGTTAAAGAGCAGAAAAAAAGGTTGCCAATGATGATACTGAATTAAAACATTTTTTCCAGTCCAATGAGTCTGCAACACATAATTATTAGGGTCAGTTTGCTGTGGACAACCTGATAACATGGTTTAATCAAGTTTAGACTGCTGGTGATGCAACAGTGAGAAGGATGGTTTCCTGCTATGGTATCCCCCTGGTGCCAACTGAGTATTGTTATATTACACAGCCTTCTTGGGTTTGGATGATCATCTTGATCCCATCATGACAGCTTCTAACTATACTTTTCTTCCTGCTTGATAATGCACCTTTTCACAAAGCTCAAGCTAATCTAATTTTAAACTCTTAAGTGTGACAGTGACTTCACAATTTGATTTTACCATCATCAGATTTAAATCTATTAAATTAACTGGGGGATGTTTTCGAACTGGAGATTTGCATCCAAGATGTGTAGCTGGATAGACATAAAATTACTCAATCTGGATTATTTAGACCAATTTTTTTATGTTTCTAACACATTGTTTATTTAGGCAGTGCTCAAGTTAAAGGGGGTCCGAATATTTCAATCTTCCCAATTTTTTTACAATGAAGCCTCTTTCAAACAGAAATTAGCAGGTTAACACAGGTCTTTTCAAATATGGCTCGACCCTCTAACAATCAGCATTTGGCTCCCTTCCCATTGGCAAACAAAGCTGTGTCTAATCCTCAGCTGGCAAACTGTGTGACATCTGTCCCCCCGCAGCTGCATGTCTGGTGATGGGATCACGCTGGATTAGTATTGAAGATGTCACCAGTTTGACAGAAATCAGGAAAGTAAACAATGGAGAGCAACATGGAAGTAACTTAGGGTATAGTAAGTGTTCTTTATTGCTTCGTTCATTTGTTCCTCCGAATTTCTCCCACCATATTTATCAATGTAAGCAGAGTTGTCTTGGCTTGTTAGATCAGATGTGAATGGCACGGTGCGTTGAAGTCCATACGTTGCGTATGATTGACCCAAGGATCGACCCAAGTCAGATGATGCCAATGTATGCTTATCGAAGCCGAGCAGTTTGAAGGCGATTTTAACGCCTGTTTCTTTCTGAGTTGTTTGAACCAGGTGGACGTGGGTCAGTGAGCTGTTTCCACTGCCACTAACGTCGATTTAAAGGTTTTTTTTCCCGGCAGCTGGGAAAGGGGTATAACTGAAGTATATTTTTTATGATTAGATACTAGTGTGGTACAGTTTGTGAAAAAGCAGACTTTGTGTTTACTTCCAGAACAACTTGTATCATGGTTGTGTATCTTTTACACCAAAGAAGGTAGTTCCTTATAGTCACCTGTCTGTTGGTAACCACAGTAAAATATAGATCTGAGATATAGATTATATACAAATATAAGCCTTTTCTTATTCTTTAATATTTTTAAGTCTTGGACTTTTTAAAGTTGTAGTCTCTGAAGTTCCTGTTGTACCAACAAAGCACCAACAAAGTACCCTGTTGGTGCTGCTGATTTTTAATCTTATCTATATTTTAATTAAGTTCACCTAGCTTCCACATATCAGGGCTAATGCAAATATGCAAACAAAGTCAAGCCATTCTTTGAGAATTATTTAAATAATTTAACTTCACAAATTGATATATTGTTATTAACTTGAGTATTTATTTGCTTCTAAAATGGAATTGATGCAGACTGGAACCCAGTAGCAATACATAGTCTCAAAAATGTGAAACCAGTTACCATCTGACAAGGCCAATGTTTGCACATTTATACTCAGTTTTAGTCCAAATGTGTTTTTCCACTACTTATTATAGCTGCACAGGCCCACTGCTGCCTCAACAGCAGGCCTGCATCACATTGCTGGTCCACATGATGATTAGAAACAGCATTCACCGTTTTTTAACGTTAGGAAGGAGGTTTTCTTTTTTCTTTTAGCAAAGCTTTGATGCTGGTTTGCCATATATACCTTGGAAATCAGCAAGATACAGTATCTCCACTGTGGAATTTTAAGTGAAGACTGTTTTCTTTCTGCAGAAACACCTGCTTCGTATCCAACTTTGTCTGAAGAGTCATTTCTTGGCCTGATGCAGAAAGGGGAAATTCCTGGGAGAGGTCTTTGATATGCCACTGCTCTTTGACGTCTCACCTAGTGTCAATAGATGTTTGGCAGATGTGGAAGGGCTACCTACAAAAAGTACTCTCACTTCTCTTGTCATAGATGCTACCAACTAAATAAATGTTGAATTATTCACCCAAGGATCCCTTTGAACTGTGTTCTTTAAAACGGGTCAGAGATCTATGGCATCCATATTTTCTAAGCCTTTTCATCTAAAATTGCAGAATAAAGATTCCCTCGCTACTCTTAATTTCATCTACTGCTCTGATATGTATTTATTTATTTAATATTTCAACATTAATATCTTTCGAAACACTGGAAAGGTGAGGAGTTCAGAGTGGAAAAAAGACAGCAAAGTTTTCTTTTTCTTCTTCAATCTGCATGATAGTCTGTCCTCCCTAATGACTTTATTTTAAAGACAGTGGGCTGACCAGCAGGGTGGGGAGGGAGCATGGGATCGGGAGTGGGCAGGGCAAAGAGGAGAAGAGAGCTCCGCTTGCCGCAGCACTCTCCATCGCTGCTCTCAGCTCTCAGTCAGCGTCTCTGTGTGTGTGCTTTGAAAGAGAATAGGAATCAGCTCTTTGAAAGCCGAGGCAGCTCACCAGGGCCTTTGTGTAAAATAACATTTCTACTGAAAGCCAATTACTGCTAATATTATTTTGGTTGCTCCCATTATTAAAAGTACCTCTCTCTGTTGCCCCCATCATCCCCCCAACCCATCCCCCCCCCCCCTTCCCTCCCTCTTCATCACTCTCTTGCAGACTGAGAATTATTCCATTGATTCCAGTTATGTGAACAGCAGAGCCCACCTCATTAAAAGGTATGTCTTGATTAGGAATTGTTACCAGCACCTCATTACCATTGTTATCTGTAATTGTTTTATCTTAATGAGAGCACCAGCCACAGTTAGTGCAGCTTGCATGTGTTCCTGCATGTTTTTTTACGCAATGTAATTCAAAAGGGGTGGATAATACTTTTGTGTAAATAATGTTATCCTAATAACATTCAGCAGAGCACAATAGAAACAAATCTTTAAAAAATGCTTATGTTTAGATTATTTTGTGTAAGATCAATCATTTTATTTGCAGCTCACATGGGTTATTTTACATCATCTTATGGTTTCCAAATTTCTAAACGTCTGAATCTGCTACATAAATTCAAATGTCCAACAAAACAAGAAAGGAGGAAATTAATTGCATTGCATCTTCTTACAGATTACAACAAAAAAATATAATTATAATTGATGATTATATATATAATATTGTAAATGCAAAGAGCAATTACCATTCTGTATTAGACATGCACTGGTCAGGAGTTTTGTACCCGAGTGTTGATCACCGATCACAAAATCACTATCTGTTGATCACAGAATCAAATTCATAAATTCTTCCACTGCTTTTTTTGTGGTTAAGGAGATGACCTTTTCTAATCAAAATGGTAGAGAAAATAATGTTGACAAATGATGAAGCGAAAATGCTCTTAAGAGGTTTGTGGTGGCATTAAAAAAATGTTTTGATTTAGCCCTAGAAGGACAGTTTCACCATCATACCTCCAGCGCAGACACTGATCAGCATTCGCCTTCTTAGAAGGAAACAGGGAGTGAAAGTTGGAGGGAGGACTTTGAAAAAGGGAGGTAGAGATAAAACATGACAGGAAAGATGGAAGAACAATTCAGTAAGTAAACACAACTATATGATATAAATACACAAAAGAGATAATAGGAGCATGGAAACCAAGTATTAAAAAGGGATACAATTTGCGGAGGTCAGAAGAGAGGCAAAAAAGGATCATACAAAGAAGGATAAAAGGATGTCCCAGAAAATAACATATTTATTTTTTTTGTCTTTTTCCGTGTTAACTGTTGAAAGATAACGCTGGTACTTAGATTGTTGAAAAAATGAATATTTCTTAGATTAAAACCGCAAATTACCAAGTGGTATACTAGTAATACTGTTTTTCAGCTGCAAGATTTTGAGAAAGGCTAGAATAAAGCAGCACCTGAGCAACAACAAAAAATCTCTCAAGCTGGTCAAGGTAACAGTTTTATGAATTGTATACACTTGAGATCTCCTTGTGTGAAGAACCAAAGAAAAAGTATTTTCTTTGTGCATTGTTGTTCAGCCCACTCGATGAAAGAAACTTGATAGGGTTGCAGGAATTCAGCAGCAGGATTTTGATGAGGGTCATATAGAAATTCCCTCCAGACACAGGAGAACTTAAAACTATCCTGACTACGGCCCTCAGTTTTACCTGCAGTTAAACAATCAAGCCATTCTTTTGCTCGAGGCTATGCCGCCCTTTTGAAAACCCATTAAGGCAATTCCCCCCTTTTACCCCACCCTTCAAAAAGATTCCTTGCATTAATATAAACAAAAAGCATTCAAGTGTGGGCCTCTGCAGGATACTACAAAGAAATCCCCTCAGGAGCCAGGGAGCCTATGGTCTGGGACAGGTGCAATTACAGTGATAACATCAGAAAGCCGGCATTACCTCCGCTGCGGTCCTCTCTCTCTCCCAGCTTAGAATATGTTCAGCTTGGGTTGAGGAATGCAACTACCTTGTACTGTCCTTCACTCCCCCCTGTTCCACCTTTTACTTTACAGCACCTTTTTGTTTACGCTGCTTTTTCCACAAAGCTGTATGTCTTATTTTTGTTTCCTGCAAGAACAAGTTTATTCCACTTTAGTGTTGTTTGTAAAGTAGAATTTGTTCCAGTGGGAAGGAAATCAAACGAGGGGAAATCATGCTGTTACTGTGCAGCTGTTGATGTGCCCCCACACCCCGCCATCTTTATTGACTGTGAGCCCCAAACAAGACAGATGCTCAGTTTGTATGCTTCCAGCGCCTTTCTTCATCCTTCTTCCTTCCAGGAATTCCTGATTACTGCAGTATTTGTTTGATTGTAGTGAGTGAGCGCCTCCTGTTTGTCGTTGCAATGTCCTTGAAGTCAGCGCATCCATCCACAATGTCCCCGTCTAAATCACTGCATGCCTTCTTTTGTGAAGATCAAAAATGTGTGCCTAATCCATAAAAGCTCTCAGAAGATTTGCACTTACTCTTTATCTTGTAGGAACTGCAAACAAAAGCAAGTCAGAGACTTATACAATCAAAGATGTTGTATTTAAAGGTGACTTACTCTTAAAAAATAATTTATGTAATTTATGTTTAAATCAGTGGAAATGAACCATGTTTAGGGATGCATTGGTCACAAATTTATGGGAAATGACTAACCTTCATTTTTTTAAACACTTTGAAAAGCTGAAAAACATTTTACCAACTGTATATTTCTCTTTAAGAACTATCAGAAAGTCTTAAAAATATTTCGTTTTAGCCAGGATATTTGGGAGATTAATTATTTTTATTTGGCATAAAATATGGTTTTGATATTTTTTATTATTCACAACATAGAAATCACAGGATTTAAATTATGTTCCATTCTAGCATTTTAATATAATCTGTCTCCAGGTTAGATTCCACTCTGGAACTCCCATTTTGTATGTGCGATGCTATTTGATAATTTTCTGCTTTTAATATGTTGCCATACACTTAAATCAGAACATATAAGTTTCATTCTGATCACAGTAACATATTTTTAGTTATAAATTGTAATGGTTTTCTTTAGCGTTTGAAATATATTTGAATTCTTGTTGATTATTGAAAAGAAATTACTCTATAAAGCATATGAAATTTTCTTTTAGTGTGTACAAACTGGTTGGTTAAAGAAAATTTTAGATCAGATGGACCAAAACTACAGATACAAATTGTATTCACCAAAGTAACCATTAGTGATTAGCTATTCTAACTGTAAACAGCATTGTCTTTGTATTACCCAAAGAATATAGACCTTTAAACCTAATTTATAGTTTAGTGAAAGTGTGCCACATTTTAAATCCGGCAAATTCTATAACTGACATGGACTGAAAGCTTAAATAAGACAAAAGAGAACCTTTGCTGTGATACGTTTAACCTTCTTGTTATCTACTTGCAGAGCTTTTTTGTCCTGCTTTCTTGAAGCCTGCAGGCATGTTTGGACATTTTAATAACGTGCATTCCTTTTTAAAAGCTTCACAAACCTGAGTGCCTCCTCTGACTTATTTTTGTAAACACATCTTTGAAACTGAAAGCATCTTACTTTGAGTTTTCACTCAGTTACAGCCTCCAAACCTAAGAGTGTTATCGCCACAGCCATGAAAATCTTAAAACCTACTCTTATCTGCTGAAAAAAGCTTTAGGTCAGTTTGTTCCTTCGTTTAAACTCTTAAAGGGCATGATGTCCTCGGCCAGTGTATATGCACCTAGAAAATCAGGTATGAAACAAACCGAAACACAAAAGTATAAAATGGTGAGGAACAAAATTATTAGGTCACATTCTCTCTGTCCAAGCAGTTTGGATTAACAGACTCCTTAGAAAATACATTATTTAAATTTCCTATAACTTCTTACGTGTTTTTTGTTTTCTATGACACTTCACTGTTACTGAAAACAGCTAACATTAAGTCTTCTTCCTGCAGTAATAACTTCCATACCAAAGATGCTGTTCTAAGGAAAACCAGTTTGAGCTTAAGAACTCACTGATTTGAAAAAGATTGGACTATGGGGTGTCAAACATGGGTCCACACATAAATCAGTTTCTCTGTGCATTTCTAACCGAGATACATGCTGTTTGAGGGTGCAAAGGAGATTACAAAAAAAATGGACAACTAGTCACAAACCATAGAGGTACAAGGCATAAAGAACACCACGGTAGAAAGGTGATGTGACAGTTAATCAACATTTCCCTTTTCTCCCTTCTGGCCCCCATGTAGCACATCAACGTTCAAGGACCTGGAGGGCAACAGTCTGAAGGACAGCGGCCATGAGGAGAGCGACCAGACCGACAGCGAACATGACGTCCAGAGAGGACACTATGTTGACACGGCTGTCAATGACATGCTGAACATGACCGCCCCCCCTAATGTTTGCCAGCTGCCAGACCAAGGTAAGGAAGCATTTGCTTGTTATTATGTGTGCAGGCTGTGCACGTTAAGAGGTGCGGAGGATGTTGTTTCCATTTTCAAGAAAGGACTGATATGGATTTTTGTGTTTGTGTGTACCTGAGTCCATTTTAACTCAACCAGAGCATCTTTTAGGAGCCATTATGCCCACTAAAGGTATCAGATGTGTATGAATAACATCACAGGCTGTTTTTTTGTCTTTGAAGTCTTGCTCTGAGCTAATGTGAGGGATCTCTGACAGATAAGGCCACCCTTTGATACCAGCTTAGGCAACTTTATTGACTGATAGTAGCCAAGTCTGCTCTTGAAGCCAGACTGACTTCAGACGTAGTTGAATAGCAGCAATTAGGCTCATATTCATAGTTAAAAGAAATACTGTCCATTGTGCTCTAAACCTTTACTCAGTGAGATAATTTAGCAATAAATTAATGGTCATATTGTATTTCTGATAGGCCGTTTAAAAAGAGACATCTATTCTATTGGTCCAATTCAAATGGAGAAATAATTATTTTACTTAACTACTAAAGAACTGTTTACACAGGTGCTCAGGCGCACTGGAAAACAAATGAGAATCTTTTGAAACTACTGAATATGATCTTAAAATTTAGTTTCATCACTGAAGCAGAAGAATAAAGCATTTTTCCTTAAAGCAATAACTGAATATATCCCTTTAATTTGTTTCTTTCTGTATCTTACATTTGCTCTAGTTTCTTCAGCTTTTGTAAAGGTTGTCTTTAATCCACTGGTGTAAGATAAAAATTATTTCTGTTCTCTTTTTACTAACACTGCCCTAGAAATGGCTGTCTAGTTGCTTGCCACGTTATTCTCTTGCTCATTCAGTTCATATTAGGTTCAGGTTTTAATGAACCAAAGATAAAAAATACGAATCAAGAATGCATATGGTGTGATTTATTTGAATTATTTAGCTATCTATTTTTACCAGTACCCTGTTAAGTATGTGTGTGTGGCTTAAAAAGCAGTAATAGATGTCTGCAGGCTCATCCTGGCGTTTATACCCAGCCAGATGCTACACTTGGAGCGGTTTTGCTGTTTATGCTGTTTGACCGGGGAATAATAACATCATACAACCTTCATTTTATGTTGATTGAGAATGGAGCAATACAGATGCATCTGTCTTTTTGGCCGGCAGCTCTTGTTTTATTTTATTGGGGTTGTTTTTTTAAATAACATGGCAGAGAAATGCAGATGGAGGTATAGGGGGTCAGGATGAATGTTGACCATTAGAACCAACTTGTTTCAGGTTTTTTCAGGTGGCGTTTGACTGTAATAAGCATTGAAACGTGAATTGACTATATATTGGTTGCCAACTGTAATTACTTTACAACCTGCAAAAAAATCTCATGCCTCCAAAGAATGCACATTGACAGGTTTTTCTGGTTGTGGGATCTCATTATTGGAGACAATTAGAAATAATGTTCATGAGGAATATTACAAGGGGGAGAGCTCTCTGAGGCGGTGCGTTTTTCATTAACACCGCCAATGATTGTATCTGTTTCAGCAAAATAGAAGCGTGTCTCCTGAATGTCTAATGCAGCACAACACTGCTGGTAAACAGAACAAGAGGCTATTTCACAGTGCTGTCCATTCTTTTGACCAGAGCAAAATAGATGATAACAGAGTTATCTGTTCGGAATTGCAATGTGTTCGTTCTCTTTGGCTTTTTCTTCTCTTAGTCTTTCATCTCGACTTGCTCCTGAGTCGTTTTTCCTCCAACCTTTCTTTTTTTATTAAAGTTTCAACATAGTATGGGAGTTTGTTGAAATGTATGGAATAGTTTTTACTTCTCTATAATGAATAAATCAGGAGAAATCAAATCCTTAATTCTTGCCACTATTTTCTAAAAATTGTATCAATTTATGCATCCTATCCATCTGCTCACACGCTCATCTAATTATATCCTTTTATCCATCCATCCATCCATCCATCCATCCATCCATCCATCCATCCATCCATCCATCCATCCATCCATCCATCCATCCATCCATCCATCCACCTATTCGACCATCCAACCAGGGACCTGTTAATCAGTGTTTATTAATCGTTCTATCCATCTCATCTACTAATCCTTTCATCTATCTGTTAATTTGTTCATCATTCCATGTATTTATACATCTTATTTTTCAACTATCTGCCATTCTTAATATTGTTCAACAATTCCCTCATCCATTTCAACCATCCATTTATCCATCTGTCATCTCATCAGTACACCCACCAATCAGATTCTTCCTTGTCTTTTTCCATCCGTTAATAGATGTTAAAACCATCCATTATTTTGTTCCTTTGTCCTTCCTTTGTTGCTTCCTTCCTTGCCTGCTTCGTTCGTTCCTTCCTCTGACTCTCTGGAACGTAATGGTTGTCCAGAATCTTTTTTTCCTATTGTTTTGGATGTCAATCTGCCAAAGTGGTCATGCCAGAGGGGCTTTTCATAGTTGTTAAATGATTTGCCCAAAGATGACATGCAGAAATGTAATGACATGGTGAATGAAATCATCCCCTGTTTCCATCTCAGTGGTCTAATTACACAGTTAAAGGGCAAAGAAGGCTGACAATGATGGGCAGACGATGCACAGTTGGAACTGACTTGCCCGGTTTGTAAGACTTTTACATGAGCCGAAATTCTCCGGAGCTCCTCTGGAGAACACCGTAGCTCTGTCATTTCCCTGCTGCTTTTTTACCCATTCATAATAACTGACTCAAGCACGAAGTCGGAACAACAACATTGAGGCTTATTTGAGATGAGAGGTGGAATTGCTACACATAATGTGATGTGTTTTTACTTGGATATCCTCTGTTTTAATTGACAAAAATTAACACCTTTTCTGGTGTGTGAAAGGAGAGAGATTTTTAGAAAACAAACAAGCATCTTTCCTAAACACACCACTGTTTAGATGTCTTCAGGGAGTAAACCTTCTGTGTTGCGTGCTGTGCCTCTCATGCCAGCTAAAGCAGAAAAGAAGTTGAGGGACAGCAATTGCCAAAGGACTATAGCAGCACCTACTTATTGTGTGTCTGTGTTTGATTTTCATTGTTCTGTTTTCTTGTGTTGATAAGTGCCAAGAACAAAAGGAAACTGTAACAGGAAAGAGAGGAAGGGTTAAACTCCAGGGCTTTTCACCATGCAAATGTTTACCATTCCCAGTGCCATGTAAAGAATTTGTGTGCTCGGAATACAAACCATTACCTTTAGACAAAGACTCAGCCTTCCCTTCATTCTTTTGACTTTTATGTGGGAATGTAATTGTGTAAAGAAATTCAGCTACTAACTAGCCACATCACAGTGAGCATTTTTGTGTCCTTGATCAAGAAGCAAGGGGGAATCCAAGAAGTTTTTTAAGGGGTGAGCAGATGGGGATCACTGATATTCATGGCAAAACAAAACAAAAATCCATTTTAAGAGTTTAAGGCATTTTTGAATAGGCATGTTGCCATAGCAGAAGTTAGAAATGAAATCCAATTAAACATATGACAAAAATATTTAAAATGTACTTGTAAGTGCATGATTTTACCTCCTTAATATTATGTGTCCATAATTTCGAATTGGTCTGAGACCTTTGATTTTTGATCTAAATGTTCGCTCTTGCTTTTGTTTGACAGACTTAAAAAAATTGAGGAGTCACAGAAAAAAAGAAAAGAAGGCATATTGTATCAAGTTAATGTGTGTTATAGACGTATGTGCGGTGTGCTATGCTTTTTGGTTCCCTGTGCCTGCTATATATTTGGTAATCCTTGTCATTCATTGTGTCATAAAGTCACTAGGAAACTGCTACTAAACAGTTTGACTGCTGGACAGACGGCACACTCTCCGAGGTCTGATTTTGCATTTAATTCAACAGAGTAACACTTTTTTATTGTGCGTTTTCTTTTCGTGCAGCTCTAATAGCTGATATTTGCTCCCTCATATTTTCATTAATGATATTTGGACTGTTGTCCGCCACATTCAAGCATAGGACTATCTGGCCATTGAGAAGAGTCTCTTAATAGTGTTGCATCCCTGATGGGTTAGACCTTTCTTTTCACCACTGCAGTTTTATCTATTCAATATTTCTGTACCAGCTTACCAAGGTAACTTTCAGTGAAGTGCTTGTGAAGAGATTTTCAACTTATATCTGAGAGAATAACTCCTTCCTTAATCCTTGCCAAGAATATAAAACAGAGTGCAGGTTCTTTTCAAGGAGCTGACCTTAAACATCTCATCCCATGGATTAGATTTGGGAAGTATCTGAGGACCAAATTATTTTAAATCTCTTAAAATCTATAAAGGGGGAGATATCTTTGAAATGTAATCTTCCCATAGAATTAAAAGTAATGGATTCAATGTACTATATTTCAGAGTAGCTATATATAATAGATTCATCTTCATCTTTATATCACCGCCTGTATATTTCGGAAGGGATTTGTTTAAAATAGACAACATGCTAACTTCGACTGTGAAGCCATCAGTGTCAGGAAACAGCTCTGAGTCGGCTTGTGACAAAGAGAGTTAAATCCATTTTTTCCTACTCTAGCTCACATTGTAATTCCTCCAGGATATGGATAAGCTATAGTTTCAAGGATTTAGAGTTATGTATTATTAAATCACGCAAGTCATCTGAGTAGGAAGGGAAAATAGGAATTGCATATTCTGATATGCTGGTTCTAGAGGACCTTAGCTTTGGTATTGTTTCCAGGTCATTGTATGAGTGCTCATCAAGTAAATTCAGTCCAGCTTGGGCTGTTACACTCAAAAGGGAACCAAGACTGCTCAATTAGCCTGAGCGGGGAACCAAGCTCTTTTATTTCTGACATATTCCTTGGCCTCCATCTCTGGAGAATATCTCTCATCTATCTGTTAGCTCCCTGTGGATGTGTGCCTGAAGCTGGAGCCCAGGAATGGAAGCCCCCTTTGTGAGCTGCACATTTCTTCATAATCCCTTTCTCCATCACTGGATCCACAGGGTTTCACTGTTCCTAATTGATTTAAGCC